GTAATAAATCTGAAGATTCCTACATCTATCGATGCCTGTCGCTTGTTTCTCCATCTACCGATTTCGATGAAATTTTCAGCATGCGCACAAGTGACATAAATCTACAAAACGTATGTTTGAAATTTTCGTTACAAGCTCAGGTAAAAAAGTTGTAAACAGTGACCTTTACAATTTTCTTCGTGAAAAAATTTTATATGCGTCATCTAGTATACTAATCCTCCTAACGTGAAAAAATGTTACACGCGTCATCTAGTATACTAATCCTTCTAACTTCTCAAAAATACTCAAGTCGTATGATCCAATTTAAAAAAAATTACACTGTTCTAAAAAGTGTCCGAATATTAGTAAGAGTCCTTTCTCTGTAATGAGATTATCCGTGCTGGTTGGACGCGGGAGAGAAATCGTAAGAAAATCGGCGAAGGTAAGTACGTTGGAACCGAGAGCTGTTGCGTTTGCGAAGTCAGATGAGATCTTCTTGAATTTTCACTAGAAATGAGTTTCGAGGGATTTAATGGGATTTGGAATTTTTTCAGAGTGGTATCAGTATTGATTTCTAGAAGAAGGTAGTATTTTTCGTAATATTGATATTTTTTAAGTTTGCAATGTCAATACATACTTTTTTATTTTTGTGATTTTAGCATTTTTTAATTTTTGTAATATTGATACTTTTTGGTTTTGTAACGTCAATAAGAAAATCATGGGAGAATCAGCGAAGGTAAAGTGTAGACGAGAGCTGTTGCGTTTGAGACGAGATCTTGAATTTTGCCGATGGAAAGTTCGATTGTTGGAAATGATTTTCGAGGGATTTAATGGGCTTTGATTTTTTTTGTGAGTGGTAGGTATTGATATTGATTTTGAGGAAGAAAGTAGTATTAATGCCTACTTTTTATTTTCGTGATTTTAATATTTCTTAATTTTCGTGGTATTGATATTCTTTAATTTTCGTAATATTCGTATTTTTCATTTCTGCGATGTTGGTGTTTTCTTCGTTTTGTGATATTAATATTTATGATATTCGGAGTGATGATGTTAACGTTGAATGTAATAAACGATGGCTTGGTTAATGTTGCTTTCAAGAAGTAATTAATATTTTGATAATGTTAAATGGTACTCTGTGGTGTCGTCGAATTTGTTCTCATTCCCTGTACAAAAGAGAAAACAGGAAATGGTTTCAATTAAGGATGTTAAAGTAGCCTTGTTCCCTCGGCAAAGAGAAGGAATCATTTTGGAAATATCGATTAATCTCTTGCGAACACGTGCTGTGTATACCGGGTGCCGTAGAAAATTTGCTCCGAAGTTTCTGCGTTCGTATTATTGAACAGTTTGAATAAAAAAATTTCGAAAACCACACGATCCTTAGTTTCTCATTATGTTTACTCTGTAACCGTCAAACTTCATTTCACTCCATACACCGTGACAAAAGTTAACTTCAAATGTATCTCCGTATCTATTTAAAAAAAAGAAAAGAAAGTATGCAAAATACAGGACAAATAGAGGAAACTGATATTTATGTTAAATATTGAACAATATAAAAATTGAAAAATTTGAAAATTTATGTGACCCTCACTTTTTCACTATTTTTACTCTACCGACCCAAATTTCGACCTAACCAACAAACTTCATTTCATTTTATATAGATTCTGTGATAAGAATTATCCTCAAAAGTATCTCCTTATCTATTTCCAACAAAAGTGTATAAAAAATACAGAACAAATAGAAGAAATTTATATTTATGTTAAATATTGAACATTTAAAAATTGAAAAATTTGAAAATTATGTGACCCTCACTTTTTCACTATTTTTACTCTACCGACCCAAATTTCGACCTAACCAACAAACTTCATTTCATTTTATATAGATTCTGTGATAAGAATTATCCTCAAAAGTATCTCCTTATCTATTTCCAACAAAAGTGTATAAAAAATACAGAACAAATAGAAGAAATTTATATTTATGTTAAATATTGAACATTTAAAAATTGAAAAATTTGAAAATTATGTGACCCTCACTTTTTCACTATTTTTACTCTACCGACCCAAATTTCGACCTAACCAACAAACTTCATTTCATTTTATATAGATTCTGTGATAAGAATTATCCTCAAAAGTATCTCCTTATCTATTTCCAACAAAAGTGTATAAAAAATACAGAACAAATAGAAGAAATTTATATTTATGTTAAATATTGAACATTTAAAAATTGAAAAATTTGAAAATTATGTGACCCTCACTTTTTCACTATTTTTACTCTACCGACCCAAATTTCGACCTAACCAACAAACTTCATTTCATTTTATATAGATTCTGTGATAAGAATTATCCTCAAAAGTATCTCCTTATCTATTTCCAACAAAAGTGTATAAAAAATACAGAACAAATAGAAGAAATTTATATTTATGTTAAATATTGAACATTTAAAAATTGAAAAATTTGAAAATTATGTGACCCTCACTTTTTCACTATTTTTACTCTACCGACCCAAATTTCGACCTAACCAACAAACTTCATTTCATTTTATATAGATTCTGTGATAAGAATTATCCTCAAAAGTATCTCCTTATCTATTTCCAACAAAAGTGTATAAAAAATACAGAACAAATAGAAGAAATTTATATTTATGTTAAATATTGAACATTTAAAAATTGAAAAATTTGAAAATTATGTGACCCTCACTTTTTCACTATTTTTACTCTACCGACCCAAATTTCGACCTAACCAACAAACTTCATTTCATTTTATATAGATTCTGTGATAAGAATTATCCTCAAAAGTATCTCCGTATGTACGTTAAAAAAAAAGTGTGCAAAAAAGTACAGTGGAAATAGAAGAAATTGATGTTAATTCGCGATAGACGGAAATGGAAGTAGCTACGCCACTGCGTGGAGGCCAATCGAAACGCCATTAGTACCCGGTGGCATTAAACGAGCGTGTTCTCGAAGCAGGTAGCCATCTTCCGCGGCGGCTTCCACGAAAATTAACTACTCGCGGTGGTTCGATTCGAAATTCATTAATTTCCCCGGGACGCGAGTACGCGCGCACACACGCCGCCACGGACGATCACCCGCGGTGTCCGCTCGCTATTAATGCGCGGCTCGCCTCGTCTCGAAATCGAATTACACGTCGATGGAATTAGCTTCCGTCAACGAGCCGCCTCGTTGCTCTTTATTAAACCGCCAGAATCGTGCACCTGCCTCTGATCGGCCTGACCTCGCGATTTTTGCCCCGTGAAATTCGTTCTTTATTCGCGAGAGAGAGAGGAGCCAGTCGAGAGGAGCAAATTTCGCAATTCGAGACTTCGAGGTTCTCCATCTTACGTTCTCCATTTGCACGAAATTTGTACCCCCATTTTTTTCTAAAAATTAATTTTAAATGGAATTCTT